TGAAATCATCTTTACCACACAATATTTTAGAATGGATACCTTTTGAACAATTTGAAAAGGTAACCAAATTAACAGAATGTGGATTTAGTTCAATTTATACTGCATCATGGACAAGAGGAATGCTTATTGATTATGATGAAAATAAAAATGAATTTATTTACTTAAGAGAGCAAAAAGTAGTGTTAAAAAGTTTAAACAATTCAAGTATTCCAGGAAAAGCCTTTTTTGATGAGGTTGGTAGTTGTCATTCAAAACAAAAACAAACAATGCTATGTTATACTAATTGATCTTATATTTATTTTCAGGCAATAAATTATTGTAAAATTAAATCATCCTTGATTGTTAATTGTCATGGTATAACTAAATTCCCAGATAATGGAAATTATGCAATGATTTTAAATTATCATCCAAAAGGAAATTTAAGAGATTATTTGCAAAAAAATCATTTAAACTTAACATTGAAAAGAAGGATTTTATTCATTGGATGTTTGTGTGCTGCATTACAGCATATACACAAAAGAGGTTTCATTGTGATTTACATAGTGGTAATATATTATTGCATGGAGAACAGATTTAGGATTATGTGGACCAGTTAATGAAAAATTATCAAATAAAATTTATGGAATTATGCCATATATTTCACCTGAGCTACTTAAAGGCAAAATTAATACAATGTACTGAAAAGAATCTGATATTTATAGTATTGGGATGTTAATGTGGGAAATATTTTTAGGTCATCCACCATTTGATGATAGAGCTCACAACTATCATTTAATTCTTGATATATGTGAAGGTTTACAACCACCAATATTACCTGGAATCCCTGATGATTATGCACAAATGATGAAGAAGTGTTGGGATTTGGATCCATTAAAAAGACCAACTAGTATAGAGCTTTATGAATTTTCTAAAAATAAATATAAAGAAACTCTTAATAATAATATCAATATTAGTATTAGCAGTAGTCATAATAATGGTAGTAGTATTTCACAACAAATACACAAATTACATCCAGATGCATATCATACAAGTAGAATATTGGATGAAGAAATTGCTAAATCAAAAAGCTTAAAGCACTATACAAGTAATGATAGTTCATTAAACGAACTTGATTTTAACCTTTTTCTTTTAAATACTGCTGAAGGTGAATAAAAATTTTATTATTAATCAATTGGAAATTACAATACATTGATTAATAATATTTTTTTTATTTGCATTTAATTGATTACAAACACTATAAATTTATTTATTATAATCATTTATCTTTTTATTTTATCTTTAATTTATTTTTTACAATAATGCAGAATTTCCTTTTTTATTGCTTGTTAAATGGTGGTATTGCAAGCTGACCTTTTGATGTATGGCTTAACTTTTGGGCTACCCTTGTCAGTTAATTGCAAATAATTTGTTGCTTGTCAATTAATTAGTTTACAAATTCACATTACTACCCCTTTCTTGTATATATGCAAAATATAGATGGCTCTTTTACAAAGCTCAAAATGCCTTTATAAAGTTTCTTTGTATTCACTTGTGGCCAATTTATTTCAATTATTTACATTTCTTAATTAATTGCAAACTCATATTGATTTATTTACAAAACAACTTGAATGGTTTGTTTAAGAAGAGCCTTACATTTACAATTGACCTTTGGATGATGCTTTACTAATTATTGCTAACACTTACTAGTTAACAACTTCCAGTACCAACCCTTGCTTATTCACTGAAGAAAAGAAATATGCTTTTTACTAAGGCTCCACAATTGTTAGCACTTGTGTACCTGTTGCATTTACCAAAGTGTTTTAAATGGAGAAAATAAAAACAACATTTTATTTTAAAGATTATTTTTATTAAATTACGTGAGGATCTGAGGTTATTCCAAACTGTTGAATTTTATGATCATAGCATTCACTTTTTTTTTTTGACTCAAAAAATTGTGATTTAATAAAAAATTTGACCTAATAATATAACATTAATATCTATCTAATGTTAAAAACTTGATTTTGAATATTAAATATTAAGCATTTCTATATAACACTTTGTTTTTTATAAGTAAATAACAAACAAAAAATGTAAATCATAAACTACTGTACTATCACATATAGTATGTATGGTATTATTTTATTACATTTATCTACCAAAAAAATATTGTTTTTTCTTTCTATTACAATTCTTTTATTATTATACATAGGCAACCCGTTAAACCGAAGGCAATTGTGCAGTAACTTTTCTTCGGATTAACGGGGTTTTTTATAATCCGAAGTTATTATTAGATTCATAAATTAATTCGGATAAATGGGGTAATAAATTTAAAATTTTAGGATTTAGAATTTTCTTTATCCATTTTCTGGTAGTGAATTGATTTGGATTCAATGATAAAAAATAATCACTCTTTTTTAGAATTTCAGAAGCAGTAGATTCGCTGACATTATAATTAGATGCAAGCTGGTTGTTTTTTATGATTGGGTCATTATTTTTTTCAATGCATATTTCTATTTTTTGTGAGATTGTTATAGGCGTATATTTTCTTTTGATACCCCAACTCAGTGTTGAAAATTCAATCGGGGGTATCACGTTACACCAAATTTCCATGTGCACGAAATATTTATTATATATTTAT